ATATAAAAACAATGGTGAATATTATTTTAATAAAATCTGACTTCGTCAAAATTTTAAGAAATTTCAATTTTTATACAATATCAAAAAAGGTTTGAGTGATGAAGAACCTATTACTATATTTTCAAACAATTCACACCAATGTTTTTCAATTATACTATAAAGTATGAAGCCGTAATCCTAAGCTTGTCAATAAAATATAAACAATTAAAATTAAATATGACTAAAGCAAAATATAATATAAGAGTGTTTTAATGAATCAGTATTATTTTGTCAATTTGTAATAAAAAATATTTTTAAATTAGAATAAGAAATTCTATATATTTAGGGAAAAATTATATCATTCCTCATTTAAATTACTATTAGAAGATTAAACAAATTATGGTATGAGATTATTCGCAATCTTTGACTCTAACTCCATTTTACCTTACTTTTCTGGAATTTCTTACATTTTGTTGAGACATCACTAATTCACAGCACTTGAAACTTTTTTATAGAGTGAGGTTCCTTGTACTGTCTTACTATTCCCTGGGTTCTACTCCTATAAAATTCTTTATTACACTCTATGATGATTTATACTTCAATATCGTAAAGGGCTTTAAATAATTAATTTTTTCATAAATTTAATTTACCAGCACGTGATTGAATGCTTAGTTTCATTTAAACCTTTAAACTTGACAGCCCCCAAGCAGATCAAGGTTTCCAGATAGAAAAGTTTTCATCCAATCAATTTATTATCTTATCTATTAATATGTTTTAATTGAGCTACAATTGATTCTTATTATTGTTCCCTTGAATATCTAAAAATTAATCTCTATGTCAAAAAGGTTTAGAGAAAGAAACTTAGGCTATTTATCACAAATGGAGGAGTAATTAGTAATAAGTTAAATTTTAAAGGATTAACAATTTTAATTTTACTATTTGAATAAGTTGATAGAGAAAATTTTATTTTTTTTCAATCAGTAAAATATTTTTATTCTAAATATAATAACCTAAGTTTATACTCAAAGTTCTTTAAAGATGATATTTATTGTAAGTAGAAATGCTAAATAGTATTATATTTTTATTATTTTTAAAGGGATTATCATTTTAAATTCAATGCTTTCAATTTCATTCAAAATGATAAAAGTATGCTGTTATTATGCAATATTACATATTATCATCCGTTTCTTTTAAGGTTTTCAAAGTTTTGGCTATTGTCAATAAGGCCTATAATTCCTATTAAATATCTAACAAATGCAATTGGGTAATAAAAATTAAATCTTTTTATATCTTTTTAATATGTATTTTTATCAGAAATTTCTTAATTTTATATCATAGGCACATCTAATTAAGGTAGAAAGATAATTAAAAGTCAAAGTAACAAAAATAAAATGGATATGTAGAAAAATGCTTTATTTAATTAAATCAATATCTTGAAATTCTTTATTACTCTATTTAAATTATTCCTTGGATAAATATGAAAAATTTGAAAACTTAAAAGTTGAAAGATTGAATTAAATGAAAAGAACCCTTTAAAATAACTTTCAGTCATTCTGAATAGTCCTCCTAACTTAAAATATTAATGGAGAAGAAAATGAAGACAAGAATACCTAACAGATTTCGATGTTTATTTATCCACAGTGGGAAAATAATCTACCAACACATTTTGGAATAGCATATGTCTATTGGTTAAAAAGAATTAAAAAGATTTCTTGAAAATATCNTTGTAATAAAAAATATTTTTAAATTAGAATAAGAAATTCTATATATTTAGGGAAAAATTATATCATTCCTCATTTAAATTACTATTAGAAGATTAAACAAATTATGGTATGAGATTATTCGCAATCTTTGACTCTAACTCCATTTTACCTTACTTTTCTGGAATTTCTTACATTTTGTTGAGACATCACTAATTCACAGCACTTGAAACTTTTTTATAGAGTGAGGTTCCTTGTACTGTCTTACTATTCCCTGGGTTCTACTCCTATAAAATTCTTTATTACACTCTATGATGATTTATACTTCAATATCGTAAAGGGCTTTAAATAATTAATTTTTTCATAAATTTAATTTACCAGCACGTGATTGAATGCTTAGTTTCATTTAAACCTTTAAACTTGACAGCCCCCAAGCAGATCAAGGTTTCCAGATAGAAAAGTTTTCATCCAATCAATTTATTATCTTATCTATTAATATGTTTTAATTGAGCTACAATTGATTCTTATTATTGTTCCCTTGAATATCTAAAAATTAATCTCTATGTCAAAAAGGTTTAGAGAAAGAAACTTAGGCTATTTATCACAAATGGAGGAGTAATTAGTAATAAGTTAAATTTTAAAGGATTAACAATTTTAATTTTACTATTTGAATAAGTTGATAGAGAAAATTTTATTTTTTTTCAATCAGTAAAATATTTTTATTCTAAATATAATAACCTAAGTTTATACTCAAAGTTCTTTAAAGATGATATTTATTGTAAGTAGAAATGCTAAATAGTATTATATTTTTATTATTTTTAAAGGGATTATCATTTTAAATTCAATGCTTTCAATTTCATTCAAAATGATAAAAGTATGCTGTTATTATGCAATATTACATATTATCATCCGTTTCTTTTAAGGTTTTCAAAGTTTTGGCTATTGTCAATAAGGCCTATAATTCCTATTAAATATCTAACAAATGCAATTGGGTAATAAAAATTAAATCTTTTTATATCTTTTTAATATGTATTTTTATCAGAAATTTCTTAATTTTATATCATAGGCACATCTAATTAAGGTAGAAAGATAATTAAAAGTCAAAGTAACAAAAATAAAATGGATATGTAGAAAAATGCTTTATTTAATTAAATCAATATCTTGAAATTCTTTATTACTCTATTTAAATTATTCCTTGGATAAATATGAAAAATTTGAAAACTTAAAAGTTGAAAGATTGAATTAAATGAAAAGAACCCTTTAAAATAACTTTCAGTCATTCTGAATAGTCCTCCTAACTTAAAATATTAATGGAGAAGAAAATGAAGACAAGAATACCTAACAGATTTCGATGTTTATTTATCCACAGTGGGAAAATAATCTACCAACACATTTTGGAATAGCATATGTCTATTGGTTAAAAAGAATTAAAAAGATTTCTTGAAAATATCAAATATAATGAGAGATAACTGGGCAATAATCTCAATTTATAAATCTAATTCTTTATTAATTGATTTAAATTCATTTTATATAAACAATACGATTTATAAATATTAAAAACAATTACTCCAAATAATTTCAAAAAAATGAAAATTTATAATCACTTTCTGCTTTTTATCGAAGAAAATTTCTATTAATGAGCACAAAATTTTAAAATAACTTGATCATCTTATTTACATTAATTGAAGAGGATAGCCATCATGTTTTTTATCGATAAAATAATATCTCTCCAATTAAATTCACTTAAATATAACAACTTTACAAAATAATCTATATGAAAGTTATTTTATGTTAATTCCGATTTCTTCATGATTTATTAATTTAACTATTTTTAGCTTAAAAATCATTTATCAACAATTGGATTAGAATACAAGAAATAATACAAGAAATACAGTTAAGTATTTCATGTTTAAGAAAAAATTTTTACTTTATTTTAGAAGCATATTTAATAAGGGAATATTTTTGACAAAAGTTTTGTTTTCTTATTTTACAGATGGGTGAATTAATCTATAAATATTTTTAATTTTTGATTTATATTGAATTCGAATGCTGATTTGAGCCTTTTGTTTCCAATTAACAAATTAATGGGATTAAGAAAAAAAAAATTTAGGAGTGTTAGTTTAATTTAGGTAGGCTTTTTTAAAACTAACCGAATTAATGCTTAGAATACGAACATTT